TTTAATCTTACACTAGAAATCTGCATCCTTTTAAAACAACACTAGTTGTTCAAACCCTAAACTCTCAAAGACAGACTAGCAAGAGAAAACAAACTGTAAATAATTAAAATTCCTTTCATCTTCATCTTCTTCCAGCACTTATATGTTTCATTAAAGTATTAGACATTTGCTGTTATAATGTCCTTCTCCACTCCAGAACTGGACACTGTCTGGAAATTTTCTTTAGCTGCACTGAAACCAAAATTTCATTGTGGATCAGGTTCTTGGTATTTATGAATAGTTACTCTCTTGATTTTGATTCTTTCAAAATTCTCCAGACTGATAAAACATTTAGGCAATGATGGAAAAAATTCCTGAAATAGTTCTTCCTGATACGTTGTACTTTACCAACGTTATTTTTGAAACTTTTTTGACAGTGAGCCCAAGCCCCTATGCTTGAGTTCTGTAATCCTAAAAGGATACACGCACCCAGATGTAAGAGTTCCAAATATTTTAAGCACACAACATCCTAGGAGGGTCCCATCCTATCATCTTAAAGACACTCTAGTCACTTATTTAGCCTTCTCATTCTATAATCACAAGTCCTACAGTTAACTTGATTAAAACAAGGAGACAGACACACACATTCACACAGAGCTTCTTCTCCCCTAATGGATAAGAATATCTACCACACAGCTCCATATTTACTTGATGGCAGTACAACAGCTAAGCCTGGAACCAAGTCTCCTCCAAATCTTTAGGAGGTGTAGTATTCAAAGTTACCAGTTCCAATTTAATAATTTTGGTTGAATCCCCCTTTGAGTCCTGGAAGTACTCACAGAAATTGTGTGCTTGCCTATGAGTATCTTTCTGGACTCAGGGATTATACCGAATTACAGTCCACTTTTAATTTAATTTATGGAGCTCCTGTAAATCTGTCTGCCCGTGAGACATGAGTGGAAACTTTACAGAATTTGGATGCAAATCTTACCCCCTTTCCAACCTGGCTGTAGGATACCCAAGTTTCCATACAGTATACAAACAGTTAATAGCTGAAGATAGCTCAAGATATACAATTTCAAAGGCTAACAGATCAGATAATAGGGAATGCAAATCTTCTGGACAAAGTTCAGACTTATAGTGTTTAGAGGCATTTTTCAATTCTAAACAACCATTAGTTCGATGGAGTACTAAAAGCACTTACTGCCATTTTACCAATTCAGATGTCTGTGGCAACATAAAGTATTTTTACAGCATTGCTGAAGCTCACTCTCACACGAGGGTCACACCAGGTCCCTGCTTCTTGGGTGAAATGCTGTAGAATGCCTCGACCACTACGGGAATCACTCTCTGAGGATTCCTAGGATCCCCACACTTCTACATGAAGCCTTCTAAGAGGGGAACTGGGTTTCCCCAACTTGTTCTCTGAGGGAGAGACAGAGTAAAATAACAACCATGGCCTGCCTTCAGTTAAGTGATTAAAAAAAAAAAAAAAAGAACTTCTGGGTAGACTTTTATTTGACTAGTATCATCAAACCAAAGCTTTTATTTTATCTCCCATCTCTTTCAACTTTAAGGCTTTTTTAACCCTGCCCAAGCTTTCCTTATTCTGGGGTTGGCAAAAAAACAAAACAGAAATGTTATTTCATCACCCAGGGTAGTAGGATATAGCACCATGAAATCTCCAGTGCCAGAGGGCAAAAAATTTTGTACTGAAACAAATTAGCATCAGTGAGTCATATCTTGAATGTCCTGTTAGGAGAATCATCCATCAAACATCTTAACAGCTATGGCTTTCACTTTCCACCAGGTTATCTGGAAAGCAAGCAGGTATTAAATTGTTTTAAAATATAAATTCAATAGTATGCTCTAGGAAACAAACAAGAGAGTTTAACTCTCCCATTTCCCCAGTAAAAATTACTTAAAACTGAAACTGAGTAAGTCTATTCATACCTTTCCATAGAAAAGACTGAAATATTCTCTTTACCCATTCAACTGTCCTCGGCTCTAAATTATTTTTCCAACAATTTTCACTGCACACATTGCCAAGCCCAGGATCAATTATTAGCTTTCACACTTCTCCATCAGGTGGAAAAAAAGATTTTAATTGCTGAAAAAAATTAAATAATATAAAATCTAATTAACAAGTTGATCAATAAATGCTTGGCATTTGTCTTATCCAGAAAAAGAATAAAAGTATTCCAAAAGATTGTTCAACTAACTTTCCAAAAATTAGTTATAGGTTTTCTTTCTTTACATAAAGAACTCTTTTTTTTTTCAATCTCCATGAAGTTTACGGACAGCAGGTTTAACATGGTAACTAATACGGTAAATCTAAATCATTCCTCACATGAAAATCACTTAGGTGGCCCGTTAATCCCATTTTTAAATGACCATTTGAAAGCTTTTTCTAGAGAGGGCATTTGCCACCTTTACACCAATCTGGATGCCAACTAGTTATATATCGTATCTTTCCCAATGCATTTTTAAGTTGACTTAAAGCATGATAAAACAATACCAGATCAGAATGACAAAAAGAAGTTTGTGAGTTCCATAATTTTGCGTATTTTCAATTTTAAGAAGCCAGAATATTTCAATTAACTACTTAAAAATCAAATTACTCACATTTGAAAGAAAATATGTCTTAAAACAATAAATCAGCTTTACACAATAGGTAATGTTTGAATTATCCAATTCCTGTATTAACTCCACTGGGATGGGTCCAGTGACTGGGAGGATTTTTTGAAAATTCTGCATCCATTTCTGGTTAGTTTCAAAAGGTCTCAAGCGCCCAAGCAACGCGTCTGGGATTTCACGAAGTTATTCAAAGAAGGAAAATAACCCAGAGAGGCGGGAAGAACGCATTTAAAGTGACAAGCTTCCTAACCTCCTCCGGTTCCGAAGTTTCCCCGTGAGCTCATCACTACTGCCCACTAAGTGCTTCGTTTGCAAATAGAAATGAAGCAGGGAAAAAATAAGCCTCGGTCTTCCCAACAGGGGTCCCCCACCTAAAACGGGCGGGCAAGAAGACTGCCAACGTATCGGCTACAGGCACTTTCAAGTTTCTTGCAAAAAGTGTAGACCAACACCCCAACGAATGACTCATCTGGGGGCTTTGTAAGCCGACTTTGTTTGCTCTCTCCACTTTCCGTCTCCCCCACTTGGCTGGAGGAAACGTTCGAGGTGGGACGAGAGGGAAAAGCGCTCCGGGAGAAGGTCGGGCCTCCTGGAGTCCCGGCCCCCACCGCTCCCCCCGGCCCGGCCCGGCTGGGGGATTCCCCGGGCTGAATGGGACGGCGGGAGAGCTGGACAGAGGGAGAGGGTGTCAGCTGCCAAGGCTCGGCAAAGGCTTACGAGAGAAAAAATGTAAATCCAGTAAAAAAGTTTGGGAGGGGATACTCACTCACAACACCCCCCAACAGGGTAAACACACGGGGGGGCGGCGGGAAGGGGGAGTGGCGGGGAACCCAGGGATACCCGCTATTCGCAGGGATGGGGGGGTCAGAAAGTCAACACACACACACACGCGCGCACACACACACACACACACAAAAAGGGGAGAGGAAGGTGAAAAGGAAGGAGAGCGAGCGAAAGATGGATGAAGTGCGTCTGTGTGTGGGGGGGGTCTCAGAGTAGGACCTGGGGACCCCCCTCGCCCCACGATGCGGGCCCGGGGCGGGCGCGCTGTGGCCAAGCGGCCCGCGCTATCCAGCGGCCCGGCGCCCTCCTTTCTCTGGGCCGCGGGTGGTGACAGCGACCGGCCTCCTCCCTTCCCCTTCAGGGCGGGAGGGAAGGGTGTGTGCGTGAGTGTGCTGGGGGGGCCCGGGGTTCACCCTGAGGCCTGCTTTCTCCCCCGCACCCCGTGAGGCCGCCTCCTTTCACCTCAGCAGCCCCGCTCCGCCGGGGCGGGCGGGCGGAAAAACAAAGGGGGATTAAGGCCGGGCCGGAGAGCGGAGCCGGGAGGGAGGGGAGGAGGAGCGCCCGCCCGCCCGCCCGCCAGCCCGGGGCCCGGCCCCCCTGTCCCCCCGTGCCCCCCCGGGGGGGGCCCCCAGTACCTGGAACAGGAACGCGGTCCAGTTGGCCTCCATGGCTGCGGCGGCCGACCCCCCTCCTCCCCACTCCCCCCGCTCGGGGAGCCTCCTCAGCCGGAGGAGGCGACAACAAAGCGGCGGCGGCGGCGGCGGCAGCGGCAGCGGCGGCTCAACATGGCAGCGCCGAGCGCGGCCACTTCCGGTAACCTCCGGGACGCACCACCGCCGCGGCGAGCGCGGGCGGGGGGGGGAGCCCCGACCCGGCCGCCGCCGCCCCCAGCCGCCCGGACCCCTTCTGGGCGTCCCCGCCGCAGGTTCGCCGCCTCGGAGCTCAGCCAGTGCCCGCCGGCGGTGGGGTCAGGGCCCCCGCGGGGGGGCTGGGGTGGGGCCGGGGGCGGGGATGGGGCGCGGCGTCCCCCCCCGCGGGGGTGTGTGGTGCTGCGGTCCGCGGCTCAGGCAGCTGGAGCAGGGGGAGCGCAGGAGAGAAGATGGAGGACGCCAGGGTCTGGCGCGGGCTCGCTGGGCATGGCTGGGCCCTCTCCCGGGACTCAAACACGGTGCCCAGCAGCGTCGCGTTCCTGTCAGACCCTCGGCGGAAGGCACAGGCCACGGCGGTCACCCGGCTCCTCAGTCCCATATGCACAGCACAGCCCGCGCCTCCAAATTGGGGGAAGCCCCTAGGACTTCGCATGTCCCTCCCCTCTGATATTTCATCCCCAGCCAGCCAAACTCTCCGCACTCCTGCTACAATATGCGTCTACCTCTGAGTGGCCTTCCAACTCTAGCAAGGAATCCCACTGGGGTGCAGCCTCAGATCCTCCCAGCTGAGGGAAACACTTCCCACGCGTCGAGATGTCATTACTGGCTTATTCTTGGGTGAAGGGCTGAGCTTTCCCATCCTCCCCTTAACTCCAGATAGGATATGAAATTTTACCCGAACATCCCTCTCTCCCGCCAAAAAAATTTAAAAAATAAAAACAAGCGAGAAAGTATAGACAAGAAATCATTTTAGTCCTTTAGTACAGTCTGCTCCCTCACCCCACAAAACAAAAATCAAACTTGTGGTTGGACGGCGTCAGATGTCACTGAGGTGACCCCAGCCTCTGTTTGCAGTTCCAAGTCTTCCGCGTAGGTGTCACTGCTACTGGAACTTTGTATGATGATGTCCTGAACGTTTGCTATCCTTTCCTCACAGGGAGGTAGCTACTGGGAATATCAGAGACAAGCTATTATTAAACAAGTGTCTCAAGTCCAAGAAGTCTCCTGTGGCGGGAAATGAGGGGGCAGGCTGTATCAGTGATATTTTTATAAACCCTGGCTTAAAAAAATTCCTCAGATGGTCACATTATTTCAAGACTTCAACATCTTTCATAACCAACTGTCTCTTATCTCAGACACTCCATTTATTCCTCTCCGGACACATTCTAATCAAGGTCACCATCTTGAACTTCCCCTATACTTACACAATAGAAATAATACGGTTGCAGAATTCTATTCGTAAAAGAAACTAAAGAGATATAGTAATCTGACAGTCTGTGTTTCCCTTCTATCCACTACACATGTATAACCCCTCCCACTGTTTCCTTCCCTCAGTCACCAGAATGAAGGGGCTGGAAACGTTGGCCTGGTTCCTTTTAGAGTCGATTCCCTATTGGACATTGCTTGGAGGCCTTGGGGATGAATGAGAAGTTCTGCAGTATGGATCAGTAGCAGAAGCAGGTAGCACATCAAGGACCAGGTCAGCCTAAGACAGGAGGGGACAGAAAATGATGAAATGTGTTTCTCACACATCCCTCAGCTAAGCTGCTACAGTGGCCCCTAGGTCTCCTATAAAAATGTCCATTCCTCTCTTTGGGGAGAAAAAATGTTTTAGGTTTATATGCACATGCAAGATAAGGAGTGAACTAAGATGTAAAACTAAGGAATTAACTAGGTAAACTAAAACCTTTGTTCCGACCTTGGACACTGCCTGTTATTTCATTTTCATTCAGTGAATCCAAGTCTCTGCTTCTTGCACACACATTCACTTCAAGGTCTATGTAATTCAACTACTAAGTTTTCTTCCTCCCCAGTTTAGCCTCTCCTACTTTGCTGCCTTTCAAATTGTGTTGAAAATGAAGCTTAAGGATAATGAAAACTAGTACTTATGAAGACCATTATCCTAATGACAATATTGCTGGACTCTCTTGAACTTCTTATTCTGGGATCTAGAAACCCTTCTCCAGCAATCTTCTCCCAGCACCTCTGGAGAGGGGTTTTCCCACTAACAGGAAGTAGAGGTCAAGTGAAAACAGTCCAGAGCTGGGATTCAGAAGTGTCACTTTTCTTGAGGAAAATGGCTAATTTTCTCTCTATCCATGAAAGGAAACCAGAATTCCTGATTGTTCCCCAAACTCTCCCTTAAAAAGAAAATTTAGTAACTTTTAAATTTAGATGGAATTTTAAACCTTAGGATACTTTCCAATGGGAAAATATCTAAAAGTTTGGAACAATTACTCAAAAATAATCAGCTCCAAATGTTTTGAGGAATATAATGAAACCAGTAAGATCAAAGATTCCAGCCTTAGAAGGGGCATTTCTACCCTTAGGACAGTCAATATCCTTAACTACAAACAAATGAGTCCCTTCACAAGCCAGCTTCCACAGACCATACTGGGGTCCAGTCAAAAGACTAGTGATGTCTAAAGACAGTAAATTCATCCTGATTATTGTAAACAACTTTCAGTGGTTCAATCAATGGTGTTACCTTCGGATATGAGAACTGAAAATCTGGTGCCTAAGAAAAAAAAAAAAGTGTGCCTATATCCACCCAAATAAAACTCAGATCCCCTCCCCATCTTGTTCAGGTTCCTCTTTCCCATCTCCTCTGCCCCAGCTTGTATAACCTGTCACTTAACCTCAGGGTCTCATTTCCTCATCTGGAAAATGAGGACAAAATAAGTACCTATCTCACAGGGGTGACTTGTGAATTAAATGAGTAATGTATGTAAAATGCTTAGAACATTTCCTGTAATATAACAAGTGCTAAGTAAATATTTTTTGGTGCTATTTAGTGGTTCTAGATTAACTTTGGGGCTGGGAATGGCGCATAACTGAGCCAGTTAATTATTCCTCTCTCTTTCAAAGTGACCAGTATTTTTTACCATGCCTCATCCCCCCCTCCGCTTTTTTTTTTTTTTTTTTTTAAAGATTTAGAGAGTCACCGTGTGCAGGAGCCCTGTGTGGGGTTGGTGGGGGGTGGGGTGGGGGAGATGGAGAATCCTGAGCATACTCCCCTCTGAGAAGGGAGCTAATGGGGCTCTATCCCAAGACCTGGAAACAATGACCTGAGCAGAAACCAAGAGTCAAACAATCCACTGAGCCACCAAAGCATCCCCCACCCCCACACCTCTTCCAAAGAGCCCTAAGGTAAGTGGTCAGAAGGCTAATAAGACAAAGGACGATGCCTGTTAAGATCAGCTCTTCTAGGGGTGCCTGGCAGACTCAGTCCAGGAACATGAGACTCTTATTAATTTGGGGTTGTGAGTTCAAGCCCCACATTGTGTGTAGAGATTACTTAAATACTTAAAAAAAAAATGATCAGCTCTTCAAAGGCAAGTTTTAGCAAACATTAGAAAGCAACAGGATATTTCCTTCCTATTTTGGAGAGGATTTTAAAATCTGTGAGTACTAAGGATTATAATTAGATTTAGAATCCTAGGAACAGAAAACATCTCTGCTGTTGTCAATTACCTGTCCCCAAGCAAGACTCCTCAACAAACTGAAAACAAATCAAATCCAAAACTTTCAGCAGGGAAGATCTACTTCAAAGAAGTTAGAAGAGCCTTCAAATCTGGCAAGTTAATGGACTAAATCTTCATGCAAAAAAAGCTAGAACTGACAATGAACCAATCTACTAGTAAAAACCAAGAATGCAATATTTGCAAATACAAAAAAAAAAAAAAAGGAAAAAAAAAAAATAACGACCAGAGAGAAATGTTACCCTTCATTACCAGCCTCAATGCAATCGGGGAGGAAAGGAAGTACATTTTACCAAAGGGAACACCCCCCTATCCCCCCAATCAAAACAAAAACACCACCACCCAGGGAAGCTTCTGGGAGGAAAGCAGAAGTAATCTCCTCACCCCCCCCTGCAGTCCACCCCAACTTCATAACCACACTAAGGGCTTAAACCAATTACCTGTGGCCCATGTGGTCAGATGTTGGGTTTGTGTTTCAATTCTACCACCTAAAGTGTCATCACTAGTTATTTCTGCTTTAACTGGTAAGGTGAGGAAGGGGAAACAATGGAGAATTTTTTTTCTGAATACCTATTTAAGTTCCTTGACAGCTGGACAGTCACAGAGAACAAAAGTACAGGAAGCAAATCTACCCATCTTCCTGGTAGACATTTAGTTCAACTGGTAGTTGAGGGTTTAAAACACAATTCTTTCCCTTTTTCTCTTTCTTTCAAGTAGGTTCAACCAACTGAGCTACCCAGGCACCCCTAAAACAGCTTCTAAGAAGGGTCACATACCTAAGGTGCCAAAAACAAGTCCAAAGCCATGGAAATGCATTTATCACTTTAACTCCTCTACTAGAAAGAAGCTACCAGAAATCAATGCTAAACCTATCGGTTCTATCCACAAAGCATTTGAGTAGAAATACTAACTTCCATTTTATAACTCCTGAATGGCTGACAGAGGACATCTAACAAATAGCAAGCAAAATAGCATAGGACACAGAAGGAAAGAAACTAAGACAGGTCAAAAATACACCAAGTAAGAAATTCAATACAACTGGAAAACGTACTCTCAGGCACCAACATTTCTCCTTTAGCCACCTGTTCCTCCCTGCCCTCAGATGCCCCAAGCTCAGGGTAATGGCTAAGCTTGAAAAAAAATCGATACCTAACAAGTCACACAAACTTGGTGGGCCTGAACCAGACTAAAAGCTTAGCTCAGTTACATCATGCTAATATTAAAAACATAAATGAAATCCTTACATGAAGTTATTCTGGTACAGAGATAAACCTCTTTTTCAGTGGCTCTAGCCTCCACCCCAAGCACATTCCTCTGGTTGAAAGGATGTAATGACACTGAACAGAATTGTGCTACCCATCTGCATTATCAGAAAAACCATTCATTTGCAAAGATTACTACTTATTAGTGCCCATCCAAATGTTGTGAAGAGGAGGGGCAGAGCAAAAACATAAATCAAGTGAATATTCTCTACCCAAACCCCAATAGATACACCTCTTTAGTAATTTCTTCACACCAGATTTAGGGGTAGTCCAGAGTTCAGGAAGGATTTTGTTTCTTAAAATCTAAGAGTTGGCGTATTAGTATATGCGGATTTTATGGTTCCCTCTTTCTGAGTTATTAATCCCCCCTCTCCCTTTCATGGGCCTAGAATTAAGGAAAAGGCTCATCAGGTCAATATGATGTTCTGCTGAGGATCCCTCCATTCCTAGTAAGAAAGGGAACAGAATAATGAAACAGGTGTTGAGGAACTGATGCATTATGTTCCCCGTGTGACGGAAGTGAGCAGTGATGACCGAAGACACAGATAAGACATCACAAGACTATCTAGACTAAGCTTTAGGAAGGCTGCTCTGTTCTAGAAAGCAATGCCAAAAGATGGCAACACAAGGCCAGAACCGCATAAAATCTGACTAAGGCTACACAGGGGAGGGAATTCACTCCTTTAAAGAGGTTTCTTGACCCTGAGAAGTCTCTGAACTAGACACTGCCTAAAGTTCAGTCATTGGGCCCAGGCATAAAAGCAGGTGCAGGAACCTGACAAGCTGTTAAAGCTCAACATAGGGACAACAGCTGTACTCAGCATTTACCCCTGAAGCTGTGAATAAAACATCAAGCTTACCAGCTATCCACAAACACTACTGGAAGCATCGCACCCTTGACTGCGGGAGCAGCGGCAGGAAGCTCTTTCCTAGAATTGAAGAACAAAGACCAGAATTCCTAGAGGACAGTGTTGATTTTGACTTGAACGATTTACTATGGTAAACAGGGACGATGGGTCAGATTCTAGACTTTTCTTCTGAAGTAACTTTAGTCTTTTAAACAAAGCATACAAGGCTCTCCTCAACTAGTTCACAGAAATACATTAGCCCTCTACCCCCAAAGCCTGACCCTGTCCTCTGCTTTTTGTTTTACTGACCTAACATTAAGTGGCCCCCTTCAGCTCCCAGTTGTTTCCTCTTATTTTTCCAGCTTCCTCTCCCACTGCACCTTTCCTTTCACTTTCTCTCCTGTCATTCAGCAGTGAATACTCAGGGGAGCAGATGGCAAGTAGTCAATCCAAACCGTGAAAATGCTGCCTGAGCACTGGGTGTAAGGTAATCCCAGAAACAGGCATTCTAAGATACACATTATTTCTGCCTTTAGTAGTTTGCACTTTAGATAGTAAAGGCATAATATACTTACTCTTCACATATGGAAGAGGGTCTTCAGACCAATCTATTAGAACTAGATTCATAATATGGGATGAAAAAATCCCTCAGTGATGCTTCGCAAGGACATTAGAACCATCTGCATTGGAACTGATAACCTTTATTCCTACCGTCATTCATCCAGTCCCTTACATAGTACACTCAGCAAAATTCATGAAGGCTGAGGAAGCCCCCGTTTGATAGATTTAATTTAGCTCAGATAGTTACTCTAATCACTTAAGCAAAGCACATGGAAGGGTCTAAATTGGTACTATAATCTGTGATTAGCTCTCTCACTAAAGAGATGAGAAAATTGAAAAGGATGCTGGACTACTATAGGTAGGTTTAGGATTTATTCCAGTTACTTCCTGAAAAACCACGGGAATTTGAGAGGGGAAACACACCTGTGTAGGCAGGGAGCAGAAAGGGGAAAGGGCACCACCAATCCAACATCTCCCATCAGTAACATTTACTCTAATTTAGTAAGTCTATCCTGGTGGCTCATAAGAGCCCTGGTGAACACCCAGTCTTAGATATTGCATGGGTAAAGTCAAATTCAGGCTGTGCTAATTCCAACCCAGAATAACGTATTTCAGATTTCGAAAGGCCAGTCAGGACACCCCAGGGACTACTTCCCCAGTTCATAATGGCTTCTAATCATCTTAAGGACAAATCAAAGACCTCCCTATCCCTAATGTAGACTCTTTTCCTTACAGAAATGCTTCATATGTTTAACTATCCTGTAACTATTGTGCAGGCTTCGCTATTTCAGTATGCAAGTATTTATTGAACACCTGTATTAAAATGCCTGAAACCGTACTAGTCACTGGGGATACTTTAAGGATCTCTTCAAGTAGAGAAACCAAAACTTGAGAATTATAGACTAGTTAAGACAAAGTGCTTAAAGAGCGCTGGAAGAAAAAAAAAATTTAAGAGGGTATTGTGCTCTTTAATACTAAGTAGGAGACTTCACCTCATTAGTTCCCACGTGACAGTTTTGACACCAAAGATTATCATGTAGGATTGCTGAGTATCAAAACTCAAGCCTAAGGGGTTGTACACTCAGGACTAAGTGTAACGCAGATTTTTACTGCAAACTGAAGAGTGGGAATTCACACATTGTCTTTTAAAATTCTTCTACCTAGAGTGGTAAGTAAAACAATTCAATCTTTCTCGTGGATCTATTTTACTACTATAAATTTGTGTGTACTCAGCTACCGGAACAAATGCATATGTTTATAGACATTTACCCATATATGGGGTCTTTTCTAAGCTACTCTCCTTTGTGGGGCTGTTGCCTACTTAAGAGTTGCTAGCCAGGCCCTGCTGTCCTGTGAGGCCAGCCTGACTGGAGGGGTTAAAAGAGGGCAAGGGCATCTCTGATACTGGCTCGGTACTGCATACTAGAAAGTCAGGGAGCTGAACACCCCACTTTCTTGCTGCTGAGCTCTGGGCCTCAGCCACTGAGTCTAAATGAACTCCTGCTTCAGAACAGCCCCCAACAACCGGGGTAGGAACACGATAAAAGACAGCACCATGGGACACCCTGGTGGCATCAGGTGGATATTACAGGTGATGTTCACGAGTCAAAGATTTAACTTGCCCCTATAAACCGCCCTGCTGTAAAAGGCTGGCTTTTAAAAAAGAACAGTAATAAATCTGTCACAAGGATTCAAGTTCTGGGCCCGTCACCTTCACATCTTTGAACCTATTTCCTCAAACTGCAAAGTGAGGCTAATACCAGCTGAGCATTAAAATGAATGTTATTTCATGGACGTTGGCTACCACTTTCCTTGAGAATAAGGTATTTGTCTTATGCCCTTGCGTTTTTCCCTTAAAACTTTCCATAAAAAGAAGTAGCAAGGGCATGAACCCTTGAAGCCACGACTTTGGAAATAAGCCCAATGTTTGGAGGACCATATTATTTTATCTAGGCTATGCAATGCACCTAAGATTTCATGAACATATTTATTCATAAACATTAAGGTATACATTAGCATACCAGCCATCTTGGAATAAGTGTCAAAAAGTTAACACAGTGCTTGTTCTCAGAGTTTACCATGTACCCAGGGGAAGCAAAACACATATACATGAAAACTATACAATATGCAAATACATACATTATACACGACCCTATATAAACATGAAGAAAAGCAAATCAAAAATATAGTGCAATTAGTCCAAGAATGTTTAAGCCTTTAGCTGACCATGAAGGGGTGGAAGAATTAGAGACAAAAGAAATGGGGATGCTTGTAGGGTATTGTGTGTGGGGGAAGGTTTGTTGAGTCTCTTGGCTTTGAGACAATTAAGTAACCAGGGTCAGAGTCCTGGAGTCACATTCACTGACTCCCAAACCAAGGAAATACACTACCCCTTTTCTAAACTCTGTATTAATCTTCACCTATCAATGCCTTCACCTATGATGCCACCAGTGTCCCATGTCTTCACTAATAAAGAACCAAAATAATCCAACCCCCAAATCTGCAGGAATTCTCAGAGGTATGACCACTAGATTTGGAAGTAATTTAAGGCTTCTTCTGTTGAGAATCATGCTTAAGAATGATGTAAATAGGACACACAGGAGGAAGCAAGAGGGAACCACTCTACTCTTAGACCTAACAGCACCAATTCTTGGTGATCAATACTCAGAAAGTATGCACAGCTTGCAAAAGACCAACTTTCTTCTTGACTTTCCAAGACTGACCTTTGGGACATTTACTTCCCCCATTATACATGGCTTATGCTAGCATTTCTTTTGAGAGGGCAGCGGAGGAGGGGGAATGAATCCCAAGTGGACTCGGCTGAGCACAGAGCCCAACCTCACAACCCAGGTATCACGACCTGAGCTGAAACCAAGAGTCGGATGCTCAACCACTCAACCAGACTTAAGCCACCCAGGCATTTAAACTTGATTTCCTAGCATCACATCTGAGGAGGGATTATTTGATGCAGTATTAAGATTACCATTGTTTTCTCCAATAATCCACCCAGTTACCCAGAAGTTTGTGGAACAGGGTCCTATTGTGATGCTTTTAAGGAGTAAAAGTTCTTTCCATCTCTTCACATTTATTAAACTGTCAGCGCTGCATTTGGCTGAATGGGAGATACAAATACTACAGAAACCTCACTGGGCAGGAAAAACTAACACAAAACTTTCAACAGTAATAAAGATTCTGAAATTAAATGCCTCAGAGAAGAGAGCTGTTATACGGGCTTAGAAGTTTACTTTTTAGTTTCAGGAATTAAGCTTAACTGAGGTTGATCAGGATTTGAAGCTTCAGAGTAACTGCTAAGTGAGAGGACAGAAAGAGAAATGTCTATAAACACACAGAAGCAAAAACAAGCATGGTCAGTATTTACCAGACCAACCAGAGCAAGGGAAGATGTGATTGAGAATAGTGGTAAGTTGGAAAGGCAGACTATAACCCATTGTTGATTTCTATTAGGGGAGTTGACATAATGTTTTAGGAAGATCAGACTTGATGGCCAGGATGGATATTAGAGTCTGTGAAACCACTTCAGTAATGAATCTGGGTACACAGGTAAGTATGCTGGTATGGCAAATGGAGATGGAACACAAAACTAAACAGCATTTCGATGTGGCAAATAAAACTACAGTTCAAGTCATAGATACAATGAACGGTACTGTGGCTAAGAACTGGTTACAGAAAATCATAGAACTTAGGGGGTGCCTGGGTGGCTCAGTTATTAAGCATCTGCCTTTGGCTCGGGTCATGATCCCGGGATCCTGGGATCGAGCTCCGCATTGGACTCCCTGCTCCGCGGGAAGCCTGCTTCTCCCTCTCCCACTCCCCCTGCTTGCATTCCCTCTCTGTGTCTGTCAAATAAAGTCTTAAAAAAATAAAGTCATAGAACTTAACTATGACCTTGGTGCAAGTTCAGTACCTAGTTTTAGAGGACAAAGGAGCCATTTTTAGTTTTCTTTGTTGTAGTGTGCTTGCTGTACTGCTAATAAACATTTCACGTCTTAAAAGGTGGACGTCACTCTTGATTTATTAATTCAAATTCCTTTAAAAAAAAAAAAGTCTCCAAAAATAACTAGAAACACTCCAGGAGGTCAGAGAATGGAAAATGATATTTTAATGTTACATACAAATATTTAACTTCTACTACTACACAACAAGTATCAATTAAAGATTTATTCCCAACTTAGACACAAAAGAAATTTAGACCTATATTTACTGGTTACTTATTCAAGATATTCAGAACGGGAAATAATTCAAATCTCTAGGTTTCTCTTCCATAGCAATTGAATAATTATCTTGAGTGTCTATTCAGTGCATAGCTATTTTGTGCTATGTACCTGGAAGGGGGAGGAAGAAAGATTACGACCTGTTAGAAAAGACAGATACATAACAACTCACTGATAATCAAGGCAGAATGGCAGTTTTAAAATACAGTAGCAATACTCTGCGAACAGAGGAAGAACCAATAGTGCTTTTTCTCTTAAGTGAGTTCTTATAGTGACTATTGTGCCAGACACTGTTTTGGTTCCTCAGAAAATAAAATTTCATGATGCAAGAAAGTTGAAGTAGATGGCTGGATAGTGTAAGCAAGCTAAGTGACATGGCTATACTAGAGGAAAATACACAAGTCTATGTCCACACACAAAGTAATGATTCTGTCTGTATGATAGGTATTAAGTTTCCAGGAGGTGATTTTTGAGGTACTATGCAGTGTTCAAGTTATACTTCTCTAAATGAGCAGACAGAAGCATTGCAGGAGAAACAGTAGGACCAAATATAAGAAATGCTGGAGAATGTCAAGTCCTGGGATATGGAGTTTATCAGGGGGAGGGCTAGAAATGAGATTACAGAAGTAGGCTAGGGGGTAGGTTACTAAAGGGCTCAGCTGCCATATTTTTAAGAATAACCTCCAAGCATTGAGGTTTCAAGTAACTATAGTAGAAGGTGAGAACGTAATTTTTCATTAAAAAAAAAAATTACCCTAGCCAACAGTTAGCTGGTGGACAGCTGGGGTTTGGGATGAAGAGATTAATGAATTTCTAACCACACTTGGCATTCACTGACCATACAGTAGATGGTAGAAGTCACATTTCTAAGCCAGCCACTTTAAGGGCGGAAGAGATTCAGCCCAGGACTTCCAAGTCGTATTTAGAGGCTGTAGGTTTTCTGTTTACCAGATGCAGTAGTCTCTTCCTGTTTTAAACCATTATTGCTGCAATTTGAAAGCTTATCCCAAACTTCAGTTGTTAAGGCTCCCCTAATATTCAGCAACTCAGGACACAATTCTGCCATGCCCGTGGCACTTTACATCTCCAAGTTTAGCCTTTTTCTCTTACAAAGGGAATGCTGGATTTTCAATTGTCCAATTTTGGTTTTAGAGTGTCTCTTCACAAGTTAAATTAAGGAGACCTCATAGCTAACATTCCTAGGATTAAGGATAGGAAATTACCAGTCTAGAGCATTCTCAATCCAACTTGCACCAAGCCTGCTAGTCAGCAACCACCTTCTGTGGCTTCACTTGCCACAGAAAATGTCAAGCGGGCTGACAAGCTCTACTGTGTGAACTTGATTTTCTTCTCCCGGAAAATACTTTTTTTTGCTCTTAGTATCTTATTCTTCAAAGCAGCCAAGTTTCTAACATTAATGTTTTAGGGAGAGCACTACCATACCATTTTCTTGATGAAATTAGATCAAGTGGGCCTAAGATACTTCAATGGTATTCTTAAACAGGAGGGAAGTTTCTGTCCTTTACATTTTTTGCCAATGTAAGGTCATAGGGAAGGGGATGATGGAAGTGACAAATGCTCGTGTTAATACCCCCAAAATTTCAGTCTTAATATAAAATGACATTAACATGACAAGAGAACTATGCGCATGGGCTTTCTGATCACAAGATACTCTGTGCCTAGTTATGCAAGGCCTAGAAAACAAAAATACAAACACAGTCAACTTAATAAGCAGGGTTTTAACTAACACTCATTAAGTATTTTAGTAATGCTGAGAAGATTCCAGAAATGTTTCATGCCATAAAAATGACAAAGATCTCTGAAAGTATGTTTGTTTTTCCTGAGATCAATTTTATGCCTAGATTGCCATTTGCAGCACACATCTACTCCTGTACCCAATTCTTTCACTTCTGGCCTCACTGATCCATACCTGTAGGTGTACAGGGGAGGCAGGAAAACAAGCAGATTCACGTCTTCAGTATTTTCTCCTATGTCCCTGAACTTATTTTTCTTGAGAGGTTCAGTGCTAATAAAGCTCTGTTCAAGACCTAAATGGATCCTTACTCAACAGATGAGAAGGCAGAGGTTAAATTACAGGAAGAAAACTTACCCACCCTAAAAACCCCACCTAACTTTGGAGCTGACATAACTAGAATAGTTGGTTTCCACCTTCCTTTTAGGGATTCTTTGCAGTAGAGATACTCTCCCGGTTTACTTTATATAATAGCTCCCTCTAGTGGCTACAAGGTTTTCCCTAGCATTTAATCCAACAGGGGAGAACAGACCATGGTTGAAAAAGCAAAAACAAAACTTACTAGCCATTTGGCATCCCTTTAAGTTGTCTTGTATTTGGTGAAAAGGAGTACAGCATTCTAGGGGTTCTCAATTTCTACTACCTTCACGTTGATAGTTCTACCAACAGTTGATAGACTAAGTCACAAGGTAGCAGGAGTTAAGACATTTAACTTGGTTCAACGTTAACTCCTTTGTACTTACGAGATAAAGACACCCAGAATCTGAACTCAAGATCTTAGTATTATTTCATCTGTTGTTTTGTACACCTAAAACAGCAACTCCTTATGCAAAGGCTATGCATAAATTTTCTCTCCCCAATAATCCAGCTGAAGGAACTTATTAAAATGTTTACTATGAGGTTATTTCTGCCTATTAACTTCTACATGAAAAGGCTATTTTTTGGGGGGTACTACAGAAGCACCAAGCGATTTAATAGAAAAATTCCTTGATTCCTACAAAAATCACAACCACCTTCAGGTATAGCTTTTGAAGTTATCAAGATGCATCCCCAAAGTCCTCAATCACAGGAATAAGTGCTGGTTTAAGTATAACTGCAACTTCTTGGGCCTCTATTTAAAAAGCAAATTTTTGCCAGGATTATTTACTCGGGATGTTCCCTTATAATTGCATCAATTCATGCCAATCTCAGCTTCTCTTATATTTATCAATATTCCTGTAAAGTATTGAAAAAAAATTACCCCCAAGAATTGAATATACCACTACATACACTAGAATGGTAAGAGTATTTCCTTCAGTGGAGTACAACTGTGAGTCCACTATAGCAATAGAATATAAAGAAATGTGGGTCATACCTTTTTTCTCGTGGCTGCTTCAGCCTAAAAAGACCGGAAACTTAGATCTCCATTAAGAAAAGATCCACACTTAACAGGTTTTCACTCACATGAACCTTAGCCCTATATTCTGTAAGAGTTCTATAATCTCTTATCCAAACTCAAGGGGGCAGGTGTATTTGAAATTCAGAGCCATTCACACTTCATATAATAAAATAAAGTATGGTGTATATATATAGACTCTGTATCATCTAACACCCCCAGCAAAGCCTATGGCAAGGGGGTAACGAAACCTCAGTATTTCTGCAGAAGACTGTGCAGTCCCAGTAAGTGCAAAATGAGGGCATCAATTCTGGTCAGGTTTCACATTCAACAACAAAGTTCTCAGAATTTTTTGGATAAGAGATTGTGAACCGGTTTTCTGCCTTTGAAATCTTCATACTGGGATGGAACTAAATGAAACCAGACTGGTTGTTACAACAGAACTTCAGCCTAATAGTCTCTTTTTAATACTATTTACGGTAAATACATACATAGAACTTAATTTATATTTCAGTACAACTTCATATACAAAGTGAAAAGACACATTAAGAAATTCATCTGCACAGAAAACTTGAAAACACACATCAGTCTTAATGAGCAAGAGGTTTCAAAGATAAAACGGAGAAAGCTGAAATTCTAGAATCATACCAAACTTAAACACTACAGTAAGTGGACACAGGAGCACTCAATTTATGAAGATATTAAACTTTAGGGGAAAAACATTTTTAACAAGGAAAATCTGTTCATACAGTATTTTAAAAAAATTTAAAACAAATTTTAAAAATAAAATTCAGATCCCAAACAATTAGGAATCAGAAAATGGGTTTCTTACCTTTTGTTTCCAGAAGGATGTGGGCTGAACAGCAAGATGGGTTATTCAATCTGACGTTATGAAAAATAATTGCTTCTTAAAAGTTTTTCCTTGGTTAGAAAATAACAAGCTAATTATAGGCTCCCTACACTATTCTAAGGGGACATAAATAGGGAGAAAAAGGGAACAATTCAGGGCTACTTTTTTAGTTCCAAAACAGTGCAACACCCTTCTAACAGCTGCCAAAATGGATAGAGGTTTAGGGCCCATTTCCTAAGACTGAAAAAAGTCTGCATCTGCCCTCACAGCTTTTTGCTGTCTGGTCCAGTGCCCATCTACCTTCTATAAATATGTAGCCAAGTCCTCTAATCTTCAGACAGCCTATTATCAGATATTTTCTAACTCACTTCAATTCTGAGGTTTGGACTACTAAGTTTTTAGTAGAACACAGCTTTCAACTTAGCTTAAATGCTCTCAATCTTCAGTGAAGGCAAAATGAACACAAGCTTAAGTCTAGCTCACATTAACCTTTCCAAAATTAGTTTAAAAAATACTTATATTCTATACATGAAACGGCTTTAATTAGTAAAAATCTTTCCACTTCTTGAACATTGTATTTTGAATTCTTGCATAAAAACTACAAACTTCCTTATCTAACCCAGTTCTTTACTTGTAAGTGGAATCTTAGTTTTGAACTTAAATGTCCCTTCTCTTCCTCCTTACATTCCACAAGGTCCATCAAAATGTTTTGGTTGGGTGCCCTTATGCAAATGTGCCCTTATCTACTGGGGCCCATTTCTTCTATTCCCAAGATTATGTCTAGTTTTCCCTAAGTTTCAAATTATGTCACCTGCATAGTGGTCTTAAATTCAGCTTCCAGCTCTGATTAGCATCCAAGGCAAATGTTAAGACTTAGTTATTTCTTTTGAGTGCAGAAAAAAGTGTTTTGATGGTTTTGACTAGCTATGAGGAAATCAAAAGAAAAAGATTAGGGATTTTAAGTAAAAATCTCCTCCCCCAACTCATTGAAAATTTAGCACCGAGGGGCTATCAAATAAAAAGATACAAGAACTAGCAGACTAAGATATAAATCACTGCTTTGGTATGTTTTGGATACAGAATAATCTTATGGTTGAGGATTTGCAAGGCAAAATTCTAAAGAAAGCCCAGCTTTTTATTAACAATAAATAAGCAGTTAAAATTCTAGTGTATTATTCACATTTCAGAAAAAATGTCATTTGTGTTAAGAGCTCTAATCTGTGAATTTAACATTTAATACTTACCAATTTTTGAGAAAAGCTTGAAAATCTCAAAGGCTATCCCCAAGTTAACATTAACTAGTCACTACCCAATTCTGCACAAAAGCCTATGTTGTCTAGATGATCACCAAAAAATAAACATCTATAAAATTTAATCACTTTTATCAAAGTATGGGAGATTATCTTTCAGAAACTAGATCACCCCCCATTTACCATATTATATACACAATTGCCTTATTCTTACCTTATCTCCCCCAAAAGACTTATAATTAATAAGATGGCCATTTATTAGAAATTACCTTTCAAGAACCTTTAATTTACTAACACATAACAGAATCTTATCAAAGTATTAACTGATAAACTAGTCACCCAATTAAAATTTTACATGAAGAGGAAAAAGGACAACCATGCATAGTTTTTTAAAAAATGTTTATTTTTTTCAAAGAAAAACGGCAATAGCCAATTGGAAACCTACTTATTCTTCAACTCCAATTTTGTTCTTTAAATTTAGAAGTGACTTACTGATTTACTATTTTAAACAAACCCCCCCTTTCCCCTTTAAATGTTTACCATCTACTCGTGCTGAATCCTTCCAAGGAGATTGCTCCAGCGTATTATCTCCAGGTCCTCGCTTTGCTCCTTTTACCAAAAAATGCAAAACACAATTCCATCGTGCATCTTAAGGGCTCCAATCGTCAAAAATAGGAAAAAAAAAAATCTTTGGAATAGCCAATTAAGTTGAATAAAAAAAAAAAATCCACACGAATGCGGTTTGGTTGGGGCAGGAATCCACTCCTATGTTCCTGGTAATCTGATCCCGCTCCATGAATCCTTGTAATTCATCCTCCCTATCCTATCCACATTATGATTTGAATCCAATGATCCAGCTCCAAGGATTGGGATCCAGTGAGCCCTCTCCAATCCAAACCTTTATAACCAGCAAAACCAAAAAAGAGGAGGCAAAATGTTAGATACTGTAATCAAAAAAGGTTTCTGGGGAATGATGAGTTATGTCTGTCATCAGTTTAACAGATGTACATCAATAACTATCAAATTCCCCAAAACAAGTTTCTGAATGGTGTTCAGATAAATTTTAGAAACTTAATCATCATAGAGACTAATTGGAAGAAGCATTTTATATTTACAGTTCAACTGATAATGCCAACACTTGTTACTGTACAGCGTATTACAGGTTTTGTGGTTGCAAAAAGTTATGTAGTTGAGAAGTTTACTGGTATTGCTACCCACCCTAAGTCTAAACTAAACCTAGTGCTCCCATCTGCAATTTAATTTGTAAATTAAAGTGTTTTAAACATGAGTCAATTATGAGTATTAGTTTAAAGGGGAAGGTGAGACTTAAAAGTATTCCCAACTAGATTATCTACACCAATACACTGGAATTCTATTTTGCTTTCATTTTGTCTTAAAAAAATGAAATAGCAACGCTATATCAGTCACACAGAGGACATGCAGATTTAGCAGTATTGATATTATACTCTATCTGGTTGGAATTAAAGACACCCTGTACCCACATGTACACCAACAGCAGGTCACACATTAACAGTTGTAACTAAGCACTGTGACAAATTAGCCAGTTCTTCCCACATTAGTCCCTATTAAAACAAAAAAGGGGGGAAGGGAGCAAAATAAATTGTTACAAAATGGGCAATGTAATTTTGCCACAATTGCCAAGGTTTAAAGAGCAAAGCAATTGCAGCTAAAGATAACTGCATAAGATGTTTGCAAGTGTTTTAAGGTAGATGTATATATATATATATATATAATCACTTTTAACCCTTGCCTTTTAGTATAAGGTCAATACTGCCAATTTCATCTGTGACAATAGCACTTGGAGTCATACCATTGCCTCCATTATTGATCTGATCCTCCTCAATCCTCCTTTTGACAATCCTAAAATGATTGAAATGTGCTCCACAATCCTTAATCCAAAGCATTCTTAATCCATCTCTTCAGATATGTCTACAGAAAGACACATGAAAAGCAAGATAAACATAAGAACTTCCCCAGGTAAGATAACCACAAACACCCCCAACATCCCAGTTCACACAAACCAGAGCAGAATAGACATTTACACAATATCACAGTCTGAAGAGCATGGAGAGTTAACTAAATTTAAACAATCCTGTCTATGACATCACTTAAAATACAATTTATCAGACATGAGGGGAATGTAGATGTTAGGAGCAAGGGGATATTACACAAGAATGCAATTCAACACTTTAGCCCATTCTGAACAAAACAGTTTGAATTAAAAAATGAAAAGATTGTACTGAGTAAAGGAAAACTGTATACAACATGGGTTCTACAAAAAGTGTCACCAATCATCTTATGTACGAGAGCGAGATCTGCTATGACGGGGAGAATAGCGTGGTGATCCTCTGCTTCTCCTTGGGGAGTAACTGCGACTCCTGCTGTTGCTTCTGCTACGGCTTCTGCTACGACTACGGCTTCGAGATCGTGATCTTCCATAACTTGGACTTCTGGGCCCATCAACTTTAACCCGGATGTAGGCAGTTTCTCCCTATTGAATAGACAGAACTTTCGATTGAAAGATCTAAGCTTTCACCTGTCTTCAGGCATGCTGAACGAATACAACGTAACTAAAACCAGGAATCTGGTACTTTACTTGGACACCCTTGCCTGAATCTTACCTTCAAATTCCACTGTTAAGACCACTGTATCCAATTCTGGCCAAAGAAAAGAGTAAGTGTAAAACCTACCTCATGAGATCTAAACTTAGTGTTATCCAGTTTTCGAACTGCATAGGTCATATCTTCTTTCCGTACAAACTCCACGACACCAGTGCCATCTCGGTAAACATCAGCATAACATACATCACCTGCTTCACGCATGTGATCCTTTAAATCCTGCCAGCTTCCACTTGGAGGCAGTCCTAAAAAAGTATTTTTTCAATACCAATCACCCTAAATTTCACATTAAACTTAAAATTTACACTAGAACAAAGATTACTTTGAAATAAATGATTAGATTCAAGACCCTAGGTAAAGAGCCGTTTATTAAAATTCTGGAATCCAAAGTCCAAAATTATCTGCGAAGACCTTCATGTTCTAGGTATCCAACTTAACGGTAAGTAAGTAGTGTATTGGTATACCTCCACTACATTAATCCTTGTTTACTAGACTCACCCAAGAAACTTAAGTAATTTAAGACCTACCGCAAAAACTTGCATTTGTCACAACTGGTCACTCAAGGAAAAACTTAAAAGTGGTTCCTGTCCCTTCTCAACAACCCTCACGAATAGTAAACTCACCGGAGACAACCACTCTGTTTTCAGAACGTCTGGATGGGGGGCCATAGCGGCCTCGGGGAGCCCCGCCACCTCCACCCCCGCCGCCGCCTCGGCCTGTACCACGGCCGCTTCGAGGAAACTCCACCCGCAGACGGTATCCATCGTAATCATAGCCGTCGCGACCATATACCGCGTCTTCCGCGTCTCTGCGTGATCACAGAAAGCAAAAAGTGTAAGAATAAGGCCGGGGAGGGGCAGCTAACTCAGTCAGGAACTAACGGCCCCCGCACATGCGCAACCAGCGTGGAAGAGCCCACATGCGCCGCATAATAGGAACGGCCCCTCCCCCACCCAGAAGCACGCCAGGCTCCCGACCACTACACCAGCCCTCGGCGCCTCAGTTTCCCGCTCGGAGAGAGTCCACTCTGGGGACGTCCGTGGGCCCAACCACCAGAGAAGCCACAGCGACTCGGCTCCTTACTCGGTTCCTGCATGGGCGATAGCGTCTTACCCCCAACCTAAGAGCCCACCTCCCCATTCTCTGTATCAAGGCCTTCCCCAACTACTACAACTTATTGCCTCAAGGCGGCAAGCCCCGGGCCCCTCACCGAGGGTCCTCGAACTCAACGAAGGCGAAGGGCGGTCCTCCGCGGCGATTCTTGAGATCGATGTCGCGGATAGCACCGTATTTGTAGAACACGTCCTCAATGTCCTTGGTTCGGATGTCTGGAGGTAAGTTACCCACGTAGATGCGGCAATCGTTGTTCCCTGCCGGGCCACGAATCACACCACCTCCCGACATGGCGGCGACGAAAAGCGCGGACTCGAGAACAGGCCTTCCCACCAAGCCTAGCGCACGGCAGAGCGAGCCCGCAGCGACACCACGTCTCCCGCGGCCCCTCCAAAATGGCGCCTTTATCAGCTCGGCGCACGGATATGGGGGGAGGGAGGAAGAGAAGCGGGAGGAAGCAGCTATTCGATCTCAGTACGCACGCGCAAGAGCGTAACGGGTGCTGCGAAAGGTACGCTCACGCATGCGCGACGTGACCCTCCGCGAGAAGGGAGAAAAAAAGTTCCTCGCGTTCCCGATTTACGGAGTGGTTTGCAAGTGAAATGACCAGCCGTTTGGTAAAAATTAAACACAGATTCCTCGTTAAAGGGGTTACTAATCCCTGACGAGTCTTAAGAGATAGTCGATTTTTCCAGGAATGAGTCTCTTAGAACAAGTCCGCGCCTTGAAAGCATTGGGTGAAACCTAGCCTTGAGCCTTGTCCCACAATGCCCTGCGGCTTAACGGCCTTTGGCGGGAAAGACAGCTGGGGGCGGAGCTGAGGGGGGAGGGACCTGGCGGTTGCTCCGGAAACGCGAACATCCTCGGAGAGTGCAGCTGGTCTGGGAGCGCCGCTGCTTATGATTCAAGTCAGAGCTCAGGCGTGACTTTGTCTTCCTGCCCTTTCTCCTCTGCGCAGGCCGTGGTTTGCTTAGACGAGTGTCTAATTTAGAGCAACCTAGCTTAGATTCCTTAGTAAATACTCTACACCAAGTACCGTTCCACCGTCGGTTCAAAACTTAACTTTGTGTAGTTCAGTTGAGGTTGTGGCTTGATCTAGTGGCGGTGGTTCGAGCCCTGATGAGTCAGCCAGGACTGACCTCAGCTTCTCTTTAATCGCCTACCACTAGGCCTAGCGCAGAGGCGAGGTCCAGTGATTCATAGATAAAGAAAAAGTGTGTGTGTGTTTGCAGAATCCTGAGGTTTGTTTCTCTTTCTGAACTCATTCCCAGGCCTCTCAGGTAATAGACGAGCAAAGTGGTTGTGTGAGAACTGTGACCCTTGGAGAACACAGTTGCTGCTCAGGACTGATCCCACTTGCATGCTGGCCCAGGGAGATAAGAACTTGTTACATTTTTTCCAGAGACATAAGAAATCTGGATTTTTATGTGAAATGTTGGGATGTTAAAATATTAGTAATGAGGGGTGCGTGGGTGGCTCATTCAAGCGGCTGCCTTCTCAGGTCATGATCCCAGGGTTCTGGGATCAAGCCCTGTGTCGGGCTCCTTGCTCCGCGGAGAGCTTGCTTCTCCCTCTCCCTCTACCTGCTACTCTGCCTACTTGTGCGCTCTCTCTCTCTGTCAAATAAATAAAATCTTTAAAAAAATAATAAAAATAAAATATTAGTAATGCATTCAATTTTAAGAAAACCCTGCAATCATAAATATGCTAAAACATCTGTACCCTGAGCTTAAGGAGGATTTTTTTCGTATTATGTATGTGTTTGTTTGCAACAGTCCCCAAGGAAGTGAGGCAGAGATACCCTAAAACATTAAAACTGGACTAAGACCTCAGGGAAAATGGGAAAATAAGGGGAGAGTAATTAAGATGAAGTCATGGGTAAGATTACTATACAAAATGCCTGCAGTAATTGCCTGGCCAATTACTAAAGATGGACTGCAAATTTGACTCCAGTCATCCCAGAAGTCATAGTAAAGAAGGGAACACAAGTATATTCAAAATTCTAAGTTCCCCGGGCGCCTGGGTGGCTCAGTTGGTTGAGCGTCTGCCTTTGGCTCAGGTCATGATCTCAGGTCCTGGTATCAAGCCCCTCCGATACCTGCTCAGCAGGGAGACCGCTTCTCCCTCTGCCTTTCCCCTGCCCCCTCTCCTGTTCTCTCGCTCTCCTCTCAAATAAATAAATAAAAATTAAAAAAAAACAAAATCCTAAGTGCCTTTGAGATTAAAAAATAAATAGGTTGTTTAGGAGAAGGCCATGTTTTCTTAGTTCTGAAAGTTGATTGAGTGCATTTTAACAAATGTCTCTGCGTGATCCCACAATAACAAATTCAGTTTGATCCTGAACAGATTCATAGAGGATCTTTGGTAGTCCTTGAACTCTCTGTGATGGTTTCCAAAATTATGCATATATGTGCATGTACTTTTTCTGCAAAGAGGATTTGAAATTTTAATCAGATTCTTGGGCGCCTGGATGGCTCAGTTGGTTAAAGCGACTGCCTTCGGCTCAGGTCATGATCCTGGAGTCCCTGGATCAAGTCCCACATCGGGCTCCCTGCTCAGCAGGGAGTCTGCTTCTCCCTCTGACCCTCTTCCCTCTCATGCTCTCTATCTCTCTCATTCTCTGTCTCTCAAATACATAAATAAAATCTTTTAAAAAAAAAGAAATTTTAATCAGATTCTTAAAGGGGTCTGTAGATTCCCAAAGGGAAGAGAACCTCTGAAAATTTTAGAGGGGAGACCAGATTGTCTATCTTTTAGACCATCCTTCATTGATTATCCTTCAGTGATATTTTTGAAACAGAGCTTTTAATAAAAAAAAGCTGATAATTTTTAAAATGGGAAGCTGACCAAAAAAGACACTATTTCAACAAATTTATTCAGTTTCTCTCACTGTCCTATTCAGTTAGCAGGAGAAAAGTAGGAGGTTTTTTTTTTTAAATTGCATGCATATCATGTATTGATTCTTTCATTTGACAGTTGTTCAGTGAGCCACTTTCTTTTATTTTATCCATCCACTTAAGAGTTATTTAGGCTCATCTTCTGTTGATTAATGTTAAGCTAATGATAACTGAAGTGATTTAAACATAGGTGCTTTTAATTTCAAGACATTCTCGTTCCGGAAAAATAAGAAACTTGTGATTTTGCTTTGATTTTTATTCTTGTCCAATTTCATGCAATCACTACATTCTGATGTTCAGTTCAGAGGAATACAAGTAGAATTTAATATGGAATGAATAGGACATTCTTGTTCCTCTATTGACTGATTGTATTTGAATGTAACCAAATTTTAGATTCTGGGGTCCATGATGAGGTCAGGCTGTAGCAGGAAAAGTCTGAATGGCTGTTTATCAAGGTCTCCCAGGATGACATTAGTTTGGTGATTATTACAGTTAAGGTTGTGATTTTTTGTTTTATTTATTTGAGAGAGAAGAGCACGAGGGTAGGGGTGAGGGGCAGAGGAAGGAGAGAGAGAGTCTCAAGCAGACTCCCCGCTGAGCACGGAGCTCATCACAGGCCTTGATCTCTGGACCCTGAGGTCATGACCTGAGCCGAAACCAGGAGTCGGAAGCTTAACCAGACTTACCCACCTAGATGTCCTGAGGGTGTGATCTTAATATCATTATCCTAGAGTCGATTAACATATTTTAGTCACAAGAGTAAAAAAAAAGAAAGCAAGTAAACCAAACCATTTGTTCATTTATTGGGTGGTGGGGATCAGATTCATTTTTGGTAACCAGGATGCTCAGATTGTGCACACCAAAATAACTGTTTTGGCAGGTCTGGAAAACACATCAGGCAGTTGCTTAGTAAATGAGGAATCGAAGCAAAATGAGGCAAATTGTTTTGAGAGATCTCATTCAGACAGTGGTGAGACCTGAAAAAATGACCCCCACCCTGCCTCAGAGTATACCTATTCGAAGACAGGAAAATTCATAACCCCCTGGATTTTGTGTGTCTGTTCCCTGGATAATGATACTGGGTAAAGATTGGCAATTCTTTTTTTTTTTTTTTTTTTAAAGTAGGCTCAATGTCCAGCAAGGAGCCCAGCACAGGGCCTGAACTCAGGACCCTGAGATCAAGACCTGAGATGAGATCAAGAGTCAGACGCTCAACCCAATGAGCCCTGGCAATTCTCTTTCTGTAGGCTGATCTTCACATAAACAGCATACTAGGCGATTGATTAGATTTCTGCTAACTGATTTCCAGCCCCTTCCAGTTTGCCTCCTGAGATTACATTCTCATCTTAATTAGGGGTTCAGAGTGTCGGTCAACTCCTCAGTTACACAATCACTGGCAGTTTTAGGGATTTTTCCCACAGCCAGATAATTTATGAAGTATATATTTTACTAGATTAATCCTCAAAAGTTGCCTTATTTTCAACACTGTTGTTACTGTTTATAAAAAGTTACTTCCTCAAAAAATTGTAAATGCTTTCAATTTAATCTAGTAAGTATATACTAGTGTCAGCACTATATTTTACCCTGGAAATATTTACTTGAGGAAGAAAAAAGGGTTGAAGTCACACAACCCAGTTTTTCAGTTATTTGCCAAACAAATTCTCTAAACCTGTGGTGATAGTTATGGAACTCTGTAAATATACTGAAAAATCATTGAATTGTACACAAAGCGAGTGAACTGTATAGTATGTAAATTATAACTCAATAAAATTATTTTTCAAAATGACTGGGGAAAATTATTTATAAAATCAGCAAAATCACTCTCCAGTACCATTTCTCTAAAGGCATTATTGTGGATAGGGAATATTGTAGATTAATTTGCACTGAAATATGGCTTTCCAAATCTGGAAATTCTGTTTTCCATATAAATGTGTAATTCAATCCCTACTGTCTTCCTTGGGGATAACTGTTATTTTTACTGGGTGAAGAGTCACAAAGATTAGGAGTACTTGATTCTACCGTGTACAGTAGTTCCCTCCGGGAACAGTTGATTTGCATGACTCTGTTCCCTTGTTCTGCTTGTTTTAGTGCTAAACAGTCTCTGAAAAAGGAAGAAACAGTATATATCTTTTTATTTCATTTCTATTTGTCTCATCTCTAGTAAACTATATGGAAGACATATTTCTGCTGTAACTTCTTTATTACCGGTAAAATCTCTGTTAAAATGAATATTATTGACAATTTACTGACTGCTTTTTGCAAGAGGTGGGCCGTTAGATGAGCAGAATGTTGTTTCTATGGAAACCTCATCATGTTGCTACCAGTGGATAGACACAATGGGTGCAAGGAATGTTTTCATTTCACAATATAAAAATGATGGCCACTTTACAGGCCCAAGTAAGTCCTCTAATAATATAGTCTTGGTAATCTTATTGGAGGACTGGCTTCCCTTATTCTTTGACTGCTCTTGTTTTGTTTTTGGCTAATTCTTCCCATCATTAATAACAATAGGATATGATTTTGCCAGAAACCAGCTCTTAAAATGATCTGTTACAAAGAGATGTATTTTCACCACATCTTCCTCTTCCTATTAATATTATGACTCCCTCTTTCTGCTTAGTTCTTCCCCTTAAAAATTAGAAACTGCAGGGGCACCTGGGTGGCTCAGTCGTTAAGCATCTGCCTTCCGCTCAGGTCATGATCCCAGGGTGGTGGGATCGAGCCCTGCATCGGGCTCCCTGCTCAACGGGAAGCCTGCTTCTCTCTCTCCCACTCCCCCTGCTTGTGTTCCCTCTCTCACTGTCTCTCTCTGTCAGAAAATAAATAAAATCTTTTAAAAAAAAATTAAAACTGCAATTCATGTTGTACATTTCCTAATTGGAGTAAATGGCTCTTTAAGGAATTTTATAAAAAACGTGGCAGATATGTTTTATTTGCCAAAAATGCTAACCATTTTTGACAAATCTTATAGCATGAATCCTATATAAGTGTTAGCTAGGTTTATTAATAGTAATACTGGTATTAGAGGTTAATAATGCTACCAAGTATGTTAGAAATGATTTCAATAAAATTTTTTATTTGAGGTTTTGAAAGCATCACTGTTTTTTTCTCTATTGCTTTAAAAGGTATCCCAGATTAGCTGAAAACTCTCAGAATTACTTTTCTAGATTTACTTGCAGAGTAGAGTCATTGCAACATAGACTACATGGCCCACAAGCCTAAAATATTTACTTACTTACTTTACGGAAGAAGTTTACCAATCTCTGACCAAGAGGAAAATGATGG